TGTTTTGTTTTTTCTCAGATGAGGGGACGAAATGAGAGCTGTTCCCAAGCCTTTCTAGCTCATTCTGAACTCTGACTGGCTGATTCAGCTCAGCTGTGCAGGCCCAAACTCCTTTCCAGGCTGACTTATTCAAACTGGCTTCTCTCAGATTCTGGCTGAATTGCTCTGCCTGGCCTCCTACTAATTCTGGCAATATGTTCCACTCTTCTGGCTCCTTCTCATTCTCTGGCTCGTTCTGCCTTCACCTGTGTCTACCTTATTCTCTCTGCAACCTGTCTCTGTAAATCTGCCCCAGTAAAAACTCTCAGTAAAAAAAAACCTCTCCTCTTTCCACACTGCTCTTAATCAAGCCTCTCTTTCCTGTCCTCTTCTCATGAGGCTTGGGCGTATCCTGTCTCTGACTCATTCTGTCAGGTCTTTCTCTAATTTGTCACTCTCTCTGCCCCTCAATTAGACATCACTTTCAAAACGGCTGTTTCCTTCAATACATGAACCTTACCTTCATTGTTTGGGATTATAGGTGTATATTAAGGGCTTGTCTGTATTCCACCCAGATCATGCTGTAATCCAGAGTGTGTCTGCGTTCCAGCCAGATCACTTAGACCTAGAAGATCTTTGGATGTGATCCCTTGCCAGAGCAGCCATGTTGCTGGGTTAAAACTCTGAGAGAGAGAGAGAGAGAGAGAGAGAGGGAGGGAGGAAAAGCCACCTGAGTAACAGTACATAGCAGGACAGAAAAGTAAAGCACTAGCAATGATCTCACTGAAAAAGAAAGTAAGGAAACAATCTTGGTTACAATAGCATTAGCAACAAAAATGAAATAACCCAACCAGGGACACATCTGCCCTCAGCTCCCGCAGATCTGTCTCTTGCTTCAACTGCAACAGGCCCCAGGGCTCTCTCCTCAGCCTCTAGCCACTTCTAGTCCCTTCCAGTCAGCAGCTCCACCACAGGCTGCCGGCCCCCTCCTTCCTTCATGCTCAGCTGATACTTTTGCTGCTAATGGAACCTAACTGGTCAGTTTTGCTCTTCTTGGTGAAGGCCATTCACTTGTCCACTGCCTAGTCTCCTTGCCTCTGGTGTCTTCCTACACCATGTCATTCTGGGTTCTGTTTTGGGAACTGAACATGGCTCTAGTGTGGGGGCCATTTCCTCCAAAGCATCCACAGTTAATCAGGAAACCAGTCTGGTGGCCATATGCTTCCAGAAGAGCAGACACTGAATGGAGATGATGGGGTAATCTGGACACCATGGATGGTTCTGTGGAATCCATCAGGGTCTTATAAAGAGCTCCAGCCAGGCTGTTGTGGATCATCTGCCCTGGGTCTGCCCAGCAGACCTCCATCTCTGTAACTCCCTGGACAGCCACCACCTTAAAGAGCAGGTGATAACACCTCAAGAGAGGACTGTGACACCTAAACTGCCTCTGCATGCGGTGGCCCTAGGCCTGGCCAGCAAGTATCTCCAGGAAAGGCCATCCCGAAGCAGGAGTCAGAGTCCCAACGTGCATTTCCCTCTGAGGTACCTCTGTGGCTCTTTCTAGCACCACAAAGCCTTTCAGACACCCAAGGCTTGAGCCAGAGGGAGATAAAGAAGTTGGAAATGATGCAAGTAAATCATCCTATGTTCAGAGATGAGAAGAATTAAACTTGTTAAAATGCCCATATTACCCAAAGCAACACAAGATTCAGTGTTATCCCTAGAAAAATCCCAGTGGCTGTTTGTACAGGAATGGGGGGAGGGTGTCTCAGATTTATATGGAACCAAAGATCAGACTAGCCAAAACAAAAAGAATAAAGGTAGAAACACCATGCTACCTAATTTTGAAATACATGTAAATGCTACAGTAAGCCAAACAGCATGGTGCAAGGAATAAAGACAATTACACTGGCCAACAGGATAGGAAAATGTGCCCATGCATTTACAGTCAATTTTTTTAATCTGCTGAAAGAACTCCCTTTAAAACTTGTAATTTTTCCTTTGATAACTTCATACATGAATACAGAGTATTTAGCAGACTGATTTTAAGGTGTTGCGTTAGCTTTTTAATGTTTACTTTTCCATGTATGAGTGTTTTGCCTGCACATATATTGCTGTACCATGTGCATGCCTAGTTCCCAAAGAGGGCATCAAATCTCCTGGCACTGGAGTCAGAGACATGTCAGCCACCATATGAATGCTGAGAACAAACTGAGCTCTGGAAAAGTAAACAGTGCTCTTAACCTCTGAGCCGTCTCTCCAGCTTCCTGCTCAATTGATTTTAGTTTTTAACAGGCATCGTACAATGAGGACAGGTAGACTGTTCAATAACAACACTGAGAAAAGTGGACATTCACATACAAAAGAATAGGAACAGGGGTTTATCAGACAACACTTATAATACTGAAATCCTGGAACTCCCAGAAGAGAACGAGAGCAGCCTCCTCAGCGTCTGGGCAAGGGTTTTCTAATATGACCCAAGCACAGGCAAGAAAAGCAAAAGAGAGAAGTGGGTCTAGGTCAAACTGAAAAGCTTCTGCACAACAAAGAAATGTCAAGCAGAGTCCATACAATCCTCAGGTTGTGAGAACGTATTTGCGATCATACATGGGATAGAGGCTAATAGCTGAAGAACAGGAAGAGCTCAGTCAGTCTGATAGCAAAAGAGACAGCTAATTTAAAAAAAAAAAATAGGCAAATTACCTGAACAGACGTTTGTCAAAAGGACACCAACAAATGGTCAGCAGATAAACATGGAAAAAAAAAAAAAAAGGTTAACATCATCAAGGACTGAAAATGAAAAACGCAGCAAGCGGCCACCAGATTCTTTCAGAATGCCTGCTATAGAAAGAGAGGTGCTGGTAAGATGGGCGGGTGAAGAAGGAAACTTGCTGACCGTTGTTGGTGGGCACACGAGAAACTGGCGTGAGGAGGGCACTGTCTGCACTGCCGTGTTCACTGCAGCGTCAAAAGCCAGGACATAGGAACAGCCTAGTTGCCCATCCGTGCCCTAGTGGAGAAAGAAAATGCGGTGTGTACACACAGCGGAACACTATTCAGCCCTAAAAAAGAGTTGTCCTGCGTGACAGTTTGGATTAGCTCCGTGAAAGAAGCCAGGCTCTGCATAGTCTCGCTTACAGAACCTGAAAAGATGGACCTACAGAAAAAGAACCCAGAGTAGTGGTGGTTGCAGGTAGCTGGTCAGGTGGGGAGGATGGGAGAGAGGGGATGTTTGAGCGTACATTTCAGTCCCCTGTTACACGGCCTGCTGACTGTCACTAATAATGTGCAGTTTTGACAAAATTGTCATAAGGGTGGGCTTTAACACAGAACGTGGTGAGTATAGACAGCACTGGACATTCAAGTCAGCCTTCATCATCTGCAAACTACACCACTACACGGCACCCATACATACACACAATTGTAGTGAGCCAAAAATAAAACTGAAAAACAAGGGGATTCCTCAGAAGACCATAAAAAGCCAAGACGTTACAGGAAGTGAAGGAAGCCAGACGTGGTACTCCACGTGGGACATGGACACTTCGAGGAGAGCTGGTGGCAGATAGGCACAGTGTGGGGGGAGGTCGAAGCTGCCCGCTCTGTGACCTCACCACCCTCCCCACTCACGGCAGCCTTGCACTGCACCAACCCCACTTTCTGTCAGGTGAGTGTTTGGTGCTGGTGAACAGAATCCTCCACAAAGCCCGAAGAACCCGCTTCATGGAGTGAGCAGAGGACATCCGTGGGTTGCTGGCCCCTCGCTGTCCGCTCTCCAGCTCCTGGTCCAGGCATCATCTACCTTTCCCCAGCCCAGCGTTCAGCTTCCACCGTTTCTGTGCTGAGCCCTGGCTGCTCTAAACTGTGCTTCTACTCCCTCAGACCTGGTCCTGCCATGCTTAAACGGCCAGACGATGCTCGAGTCTTCTCTCCGTGATGGTCCAGGGGAATAATTCCCTTTTTTCTATTTGAAATACAAGGGGATAGTGGAAGGTGGTGTAAGTACAATGTGACCTTTGTTTGAGGTGATCAGTAGTCGCCATGCTGGTAAGAGCACACCAACTCAAGATCCTTCATCGCAGCCCTGCTGTAGATGGGCAGGACCCACAGCAAGGGCCATCTGTGAGCGCTGAGTGGTGCGCTGCGCCTATCAACCTGGGTGTTTGGGTTTTTGTTTTCTTGTGTCGTTTCTTTTGTTCTCGATTGTTTGTTTTGCTTTGTTTTGAGGCAGGGTTGGTTTCTCTGGCTGTCCTGGAACTTGCTCTGTAGACCAGGCTGGCTTCGTGCTCAGAGGTCTGCCTGCCCCTGCCTCCTGAGTGCTGGGGTTAGAGGCGGGCACCGCCACTGCCAGGCTATGTGTTTGAAATTTTTACAAGATGTCACAAAACCTCTACTCTTTGTAGATTGCACAGTCTCGACTAACTTTATTCTTCCCGTGTCCTGTGTTTACGGACGTTAATAAGAGTTTGTACCAACACCTTAGGCTGAGGGTCTTCAACTCTACCCCTTGGCCAAGACGCAATGCAATAAACACCGCTTAGGAGATTTCATGCCCAAATGCTAAAGCAAGCAGATAACTTTTATCTGAAAAACTAAGGGCTTAAAATTTCCATGGTGCCACCATGCTACATGCTGAATAGGAGCCTGTTGTGTTACGTCAAACACAAAGGACGTGGGGCCGCAGTTGTCAGAGGTGCCCCAGGGAGGAGCCAGGGACCGGGGGTGAGTGGGGGATGGCAGCGACCGTCCCTGTTTACAGAGACAGTCTGTCATTCAGGATTCAAACTCCGAAGACAGTGCTGGCGATGATGGTGGCACAGCAGTGTGAGCGTGCTGAACTGTCCGCTGAAAATGATAATAATAACAGTGCACCTTTACGTGTGCTTTGTCACCTTTATGGAGACTCTCCACAAAGCTAGAAAAAGCCCCATCCTTCAGAAGCTGACACTGCCCTGCCCTAGTGGTGCCCTGACTGTGGCCTCTTTCCTGGTGCTCTGACTGTGGCCTCTTTCCTGCGTTCACAGGATGACAATCCTACCATGGAGCAGATAGCCTACAGGCTGGAGGAGGAGGAAATAAACATGAATGAGAAGCCCCAGAAGTACCTCCAGAGGGTTTTTGAGGAGTCCATCTACAAGAACCTGCTGGAAAAGAGCATCCTGGATTACCTACATTACAACAAGTACCACCTGCCCATGTTCGCATGGCCAGACATCATTTAGCCGCAGCCAGCGTTTCCCTGGCATCACATCAACTGTCAGGTCAGCCAGGCGCTCTACAGATAGAACACCCCCCCCCCCACACACACACACACACAAGCGCGCTCTTACCCGCACTTCCTCCAGTGGGTTCTCAGTGCTCCAGTAGGTGGCGCTAGCCCGTGTGGCACAGCCAAGCCGGGGAGCTTAACACACAGGCAATGTTCTGTGTAGAATGATCCACTCTAGCAATAAAATGAGCTCCTACTGAGCAAAACTTGTTTTTACCTTGTGTGTGATTCTGTTCAATTTCCTGGAATGTTCAGCTGCCAGTCCCACCAGCCCTTCCTATGTGCACCCAGTAATAGTGGGTGATACATAAAATAATAATAGCAATAGTGTGCCCAGGAGGGGAAATTGGTAAGCAGACAAGGAGAAATTAAATCTGCAATCCACCCTTGGGAGGACAGGGTGGCACCTACCTGACCTTTTGAAACCAAGAAGACTACTTTCACAGCCCTTACTGTTTTCAATTCATTCTGCTGACCATGAACATAGAAGAAAAACTGGTAGACCAGAAAATTCTCACACAGATTTCAAGTTCTAAAATGTGGAGGGAAATTATTCCAGTTCATTTTCTTTGCTCTGATCTCCAGGGGGAGCGAGGTGGAGACAGGATGGTCCCTTGTATTGTCCACTGTGGATAATAATATATATATATTTTTTCTCCTTCCCAGTACTGCCAGAGTCTGAGACAGGAGAATCACCATGAGTTCAAAGGTAGTGAGCAATGTAGTGATTTTGAGGCCAGCCTGGGCTGCGAAGTGAAACCATCTCAGAGAAGAAAGAAATGAAGGGAGGAAACAACCTTCTTTTCTCTCGAAAACAAAGCAAGTTTTAACTGATTCAGGAATAAACAGGAACAGTGTGGCACAACTGACCCACAGTAGGGCTTAAATATTTTTTTTTACAAACACAATTGTGGGTTTTATCACCTCACCCTCGCCCCCTCGGCCCCCCCTCCCCAAAAAGGTGGCAAGATTCTCCCAGCTTCCGCAAGCGGGAGCCGGCAATCCAGACGTGGACACACCATCCAGCTCTGCCGCAAGCTGCCCCAGTACTTGGAGCAGCCAAGTTGTTTGACGCTTCTCACAAGAAAATTGTTCCGCAACACTGAACTCCCTATTTTTCTGCAGTCAGACAAAAGCAGGCAATAAATGCCACTAATTCCTTCACACATAGGTTTTGCACAAATGTACAGGGCAGTGAGGGGGAGGCAGCGGTGGTCATATGGTACAAACTATCACTTGAATGGAAACCAGTCGCTGCTGGCCCAGGCTTCACCACTCACACCCAACGTGTGTCTCAGGGTGTCAGTTCAGGCACCAGGTGCTGGTCCTTTCCTCTTCTCCTTCCTGAGAGGAACCAGATCAAACTCACTAGCAAATGTAAAGACATGGGGGACAGGCCCTGGGACCCTGGGCTACAGGCTACAGAACAGCCAGTGAGCTGCTTTAACAGTTAGGACTTTTGTGACCAGCTAGCTGTACCATGATAAAGCCTCCAGTGAGGCAAAAGTGACCGGGTGGACCTTAACAGCAAGTCTGAATATATCTGTTCAGTGCGGCACCTTCCTTGCTGTCTTTAAAAAGGTGAGTCTTGGGCATCACAACAGGTGTGAGAATATGTAATGCATACTGCGGCCTACAAAGGGTGTCTGGTGACATAATCCGTGTCCCACTCTTAGAAAGCAAACTTCCGAACCCAGGACCACGGGCATGTATGTGCAGCTGTAGAGAACAAGCTTCCTAAGGCATGAAGACTCACAGTCATTGAGCAGAGCTCGAAGCTGCTTCACGTGAGGGCTTTGGAGGAGACAACCGTAAAGATTCAAAGAGACCAACATGGCAGCATCTCAGAGGGTCTACCCGATTTCCCAACTCTATTGCTGTAACCAAAGAATATCGTCAAGAAAATGCCAAAGTTAGATTTCCAAACACGACTTGTGGGTGCTTCTAACGTTCTCACAGATGTCGGTTCATGAATAAGGAATGGAGCCTCCTCCTGGCCCCACGTGGCTCCTGGTGGCTTTATTGCACTCAAATACCAGGAACTCAAAAGAAAAACAAGAGATGGTGTGAGAGAGAAAAAAACCTGACTGGAGGATAAAAATGAGGCAATCAATATTTACCCTTGGGAAGGAGAGAGAGTGGGTAGAGAGAGAGAGCAAGAAGAGAATGCAGTTAGCCAAGCCAGTCTTAGCAGGGACTGGGGCTGGGAAGTCGCGTGTGTGAGGAGCTGTTGATTGTTTTCGGCCTGAGAGAGGTGCAGATAAGGCCGGCGTGAAGTAAGCGCGGGCCGGGCGGGAGCCGGCAGCTGTATGCTAATGCTCACAGAAACCCTGCCTCCGAGTCCCCCATTAAAGCGGGCGACCAGGAGGCCACACATCACTGAACAAATAGGCTCCCTCTAGACAAATAAAATAACACACGTTGGCCTGTTTCGGGGTGGGGGTGGGGGTGGGGGCAAGGAGTGGGGGGAAGATCGAGGGAGGAGGAAAAGAGAAGGTAAGAGTGGCTGAGGGTAGAGAAGGAGGGAGGAGACAGAGCGTGGATGGAGGAAGGACAGTGAGGAGGAAGGGGGAAGGGATTGTCAGGCAGAGAAACCCTGGGGAAGGGGGCTGGAAGAGATGGGGAGAGGGACAGTAAGAGGGCAGGGAAGGGACAGTCTGGGGGTGGGGGCTGGGAGTGGGAGGGAAGACCACGAGCGAGGTGGGGAGGAAGAGACAGAGAGACTGGCCTAAAGAGTGGGGAGCCGGGGGGCGGGGGGGACGACGGGACGGAGAAACAGTCAAAAGAGGTGGAGAAGAGGGGGAGGGTGGGGCGAACGGGAGAGGATGGAAGCGAGCTCCGAGGAGAAGTTGTGAGAAAAGCAGGCCCAGGCCAAAAGTGCCCCGCAGGCTCCCCGAGGGTGGTGGGGTTTGGGGGCCTCTGTGGCGGGTTTGGCTCCGCTTCCGTGGGGTCGTTTTCAGACAGCGGTGGCTTTGGGGCGACTCTGCCCCAGTTGCCCGCCCTCGGGCGGCGCTGTCCCGCTCTCCCGCCTGCTGCCCGGAGGGTCCAGCGGGGACATTCCCACGTTCTGCCCGCGCCGGCCCCGGGCCCGGCCACCCCACGTCCTCCCCTCCCGCCCCCACCCGCGGCAGAGCCGAACTGCCCCAGGGCACGCCGGCGGGGTGCGGTGGCCCGACGGCGCCCGGCTGTGGGGGAGGGGCGCGGCGGCCTCCTCCTGGGCGCCCGGCAGATTGCGGGCCCTGCGCCCCGGAGGGAGGGCGCCCTCGAGCGCGGCCCTCCCGCCCGGGCGCCCGGCGCGGCCTCGCCGCCTCACCCTTGTTCCAGCTCTTTCATGCACTCTCCTTTTGTGTGGAATTATTTAAACGGGAGATCCGTGGCAGCTTTATGCTAATGCGCCGAACAAAGGCAGCGGCCTTCGGGGCGGGGAGGCCCGGAAGGTGCCCGGAGGCCGGCCGGGGGGTGGGGCGGCGGCATCCCGCCCGCGCGTGGCTCTCGCGTGCCCCTGGGACCGACGGACAACCCTTCATTCCTGCAAACACAAAGCGTCTGCTGGACTCCGGGCCCTCCGGGGCCCGCGGCGGACACGGGACGGCGGGGCGCCGCGCCCTCGAGTCGCGGTGCCCCGGAGCGTGCGTGGGGCTTCCGTTAGGTCACGACGGGGGCTGCCGCAGGGGCCCCGGGCACACACGAACCCCGCGGTCTCCACGCCCTCTCCCCGCGGGCGGAGGCTGGCGCCCCGGGTCCGAGGCCCTCAGCGCAGCTCTGAGCCTCAACGCCAGGCCGTGCTCGGGCCCGACTCCCGCGGCCTGGAAACCGCGAGGCTCTCAGCTTCCGCTCGCAGCAGAGCTGGCGGTCACGGCGAGCCCCGACGGCAGCCTCAGGCACGGCAAGGCGGGAGCGCGGGCGGCCTCGGGGCTGCGGCCCCGCGAGCGCAGGAGTCGGGGGCCCTGGGGAGGACAGGCTCCCGAGCCGGCTCTGCAGCCAGGGGTCCTCGCCTCGGCGCCCTCGAGGACACCTGGGCCTCCGCTTCAGGCGAAGTCTCGCTCCATTCTCCATCCCGCTCCTGCATCCGTTATTCCTGCGGAGAGAAGCAGGCCGCGGGCACACGCGGCTCTTCCCGAGCAAGACGCGACACAGGACCCCTGCAAGCCGGCATGTTCCGAGGGAATCCCGCAGCCCGCTGAACCCTGGCTGGGTGTACGCACGGCCGAAGAGGCCAGGGACTTCTCAAGTTTCCATTTCTTTTAGCTGGACCGACGTGGAAAACATCCATTGACCGCCTGCACAGATTTCCCTGAGTAAATCAAGGCTCTGTTTGAGTTCCCTTGGGCAAGGGTTTTTTTTTTTTTTCAATTGTTGGTCATATGCATCACCACCCCCCCACACACCCAACACACATACACACCTTCTTCACAGTTATTAGTGTGTGTGTGTGTGTGTGTGTGTGTGTGTGTGTGTGTGTGTTAAGAATTCACTAGGCGGTGAACTGCTCTGGCAGTCTTCTGGATAAAAACTGTTCGGTACGTGAGACTAGATGTCCTGATGGGGGGAGTCCAACCCCAGCCTGCCATTCCACAGCCCAGATGGGATTTGTGATTAGAAAATAAAATTGGCCAAAGCTGTCTCGGAATCTCTCTCTCCTTCTCCCTCTCTCCCTCTCCTAATTTCATCAGCAATATTAATCAGCGCTCAAAAGAGAGCGAGGAAATAGCATCAGTTGTTTCCAGATCAAAACATTCACAAATTGAATTTTAGGATTTCAACTCATTTTAGGATTTCTAACTTTCTAAGGCATTCATTTTAAGAATTTTTCTCTTTTTGAGATGGTGGCTTAAAAAAAAAACACACAGACATAAAATCATAAGCCTTCTTTCCTCCTAGTTAACTCATCTTAACTGTCCCCATTACAATTTATTACTCAGGTGGATTCTGTTGGGGGGGAAAAAAAACTGTATTTAATTTTCAAGCCAGGGTATTTTCGGAGGGAAACCCCGAAACAATTAAATGCCTTCAGTGGAATTTGGTGAAAGTGAAACTCAGCAAAAATCTAGCCTCAGTGCGAGGGGGGGAAATGTTCCCTCACTTCAGTAAAGTGTCATTTTCCCCGAGGCTATGACATTTGCTGCGTCTTGGCTATTTTGTTCCCGGTAATGGGCAGTCCTGTCCTGACCGCCTTGCTTTCCTGGGGTCTACTCCGGTCCCCGAGAAAGCACAGTCTTTTGTGTTTCCCGGGCCGGGAAGAGGTCCCTGGACAAGTTGCTCGGCCTGAGTCCAAGCCGGGCGCGGGGTGCGGTGTGTGCACGCACCCGCGTGTCCTTCGCTGTCGTCGTCTTCCCGGTGGCCCGGGAAAGCTGCCGGTCCTGCCGGGCTGCAGCCTCCCTCTGAGGACAGATTGGCCCTCCCCGCCCCCACCACGGCAGCACGCGTCTCTTTTGCGTCCAGATTGGCCGCGACCCGCGCTCAATAGCGGGAGGTTAATTTCCTTCACAAAGGTGACGGGGGCACGGCTCCGGGGGGCTCCAGGCCCGGCCCGGCGCTGGCTTCCCTGCGCAGCGCCACGACCGGAGCCCTTGATTTAGCATCTGATGTCAACCGCAGACAAAATGCCCGCTCGGAATGAAAATGCATGAGGCCGCGGGCGGGGGAGGGCGGCTTCCCGCGCGCCGGCACGGCCGGGGCGCCCGGAGCCCGGGCCTGGCGGAGACGCCGGGCCCGCGCGGCCTCGGGGTGGCGGGGCCGGGAGGGCGAGTTCAGACGCTCCAGCCCCTCCTGGACCACAGCCAGCCGGCCGGGAGCGCAGCCCCGCGGCCGCGGATGGTCGGAAACGCGCTATGCCAACTGTTTGCCCAACTCCAGGAAGCTTGCGGGGCTCTGCGCCCCGCCGCAGCCCGCCTGTCGCCCTGCGAGCCGGGTCCCGCCCGGGCGCGGGCCGGGGCGGCCGTCGGGACTCCGGCGGGGCGTCCCCCGAGCCGCGGGGCCCCCGCCCCCGCTCCGTCCCGCGCCTCGTCCTCCCCTGGGCCCCGGGCGCGGGCTGAGTCCTCCTGACATATTTGGGGCCATTCTTCTCCTTTGTTGCTATTTAGCTCGCGACCCGCGGGTAATCCCCGCGCGGGAGGGGGGCGCACATTGTCGCGCTGATGGACGGGCCCATTTGGCGGCCCCGCGCCCCCCGGAGGCGACACACAAAGCCCGGGCACGTGCGCCTCCCCATAGAGGAGCAGCGGAGCGTGAAGGGAGGCGGGGCGGGCGTGTGCCGCGCGGGCGGCGGCGGCGGGGGCCCGCGCCCTCAGGTGCATCTGCCGCACCTAGCGGCGACCCCGCGCCCGGCCCCGCCGCGCCGCCCCGCCGCCCTCCCCCTCGCCGGGAGCCGCCGACGCGCTGATTGGCTCCGGGGAAGCGGGAGGCGAGAACAATGGCCCCCTCCCCCCGTTAAAAGG